CATTAAGCAGTAAGTTTTCATTAAGCAATTTCCAATTTCCAGTCACTATATGATTACGCACACTCTCTCTTGGTAAGCGCACCAATGTTGCATCAAAACTACACTGAACATTTCACAAGATATTCAATCAAATTACCCAAAACTGAGAAGAGATAAATCTTTTAATCTCATTCACAAATCTAATCTCCTCAAATCTTTTTAACAAATCTAACGCCAATGAAACAAATGAAAACCTAAAATTTCTATGTCGCTAAATGAAATTTGATAAAACCTAATAACTCANATCAAATTAGCATGAAATCTTTGCTATGAAAAATCGCGCAAAGTATTATCATAATTCGGTGATTATCATATCAAGAAAATTTTATGTAATATGAAATATAACCGTATTCGAAGTTCTGCGGCGCATGTGTGAATGATTGTCATTGAGAAGTAAGTATGCAAGTTAAAAACAAGTCATTTTAATAACTTTCTTCAATTGTACGCAGAAATTTCGAACTTCGAACAGCGGAACATTGAAGAAAAAATAATAAAAAAACTTCTCGCCATTTATGCAGCACACGCAAGCGATTTCAAAAACAAACAACAAATAAATAATAAATAAATAAACGCACCAACCTCAGCTCCACACATTCACCATCAGCAAATCATTCTGCTGATGGAATGGAATCGATATCGCACAAACAATAGAATGAATAACGACGTGAACGAACGAAGCAATCAATGGATCAAATGCTTCAATCGGACGATGTCGTTGAAGGGGTAGTAAGAAGCGAGACGAAACAATCAAAGCAACACACTTAATTGGTAAGATGATGACGACGACAGTTCAGTCCAATTCGAATTAAATGAAGATTAGTTAATCAATCGAATGCCAACAAATTCAAAATCCAGCTCAAACTCAGATTCGAGACTGAGATTCTCGGTCGCCCAAATTCAATTCAGCATCCGAATAATAATTCAATTCCCCGACCGTTCACAATCGCACTCACTCAGAAGGTACGAACGACTATTTCAGCCACTCCAAAAATACCCGTCATAGCCCATTTCCACCAACCGACTGCGTGATGCGGTGTTTCGCGACGTGTGCTGATCAGTTGCTTCAGTTCAGACAACGTATTCGAGAACTGATATTCACCTTCAATATTATCCGATTATCACTCTTCATCAATCCACTCTCCTCTTCATCAACGAAACGACCAATCAAAGCACACTACCAATTCACTATCAATTATCTTCACATGTAACACTTCAGAATCTCGCAATTTTCAGAAACTAAATCTCT